CGCTTTTTAATATACCGACATTGACTGGCACAAACTGATTGTGCGTTCCTGCCTTATATTTCCTCTTTTAATGTGAAAAAAAATAGGAGAGGTGATAGACTCTGAGGATATCGCCGACCCATCCGGGAAAAAGCTCACAATGTGCTCTGATGACGAATCCAAGTATCTCCATCAGCGCTTGAAGGTTTTCGACAACAGTTTCGATAAAAAAGGTTTTATCAGCCTTCTTCGTAACAAACCTATGCATATCTTACATCCTCTGATAATGAATCCATCAGCACTTAACGCGTACGCAACATGTAGCGTTGACGAAAAAATAATAACCTTTAAAAAATGATTCTTTCAAATAAGTATAAATATCGTGTGTCCTTATACCGCACATCATTTTTTATGTCTTCTACGCTATGATGATTGGTGCTATCTCAGTAATGTGTGAGTGCTTACTTGATCGGCTACGACGTCGTGTTAGAGATTTATTATTAAGTTTTCCAGAAAAATCTATCGGTATGTGCGTTGCAAAGGTTGACATCCGTGAAGAATAAAAAGGGAAGGAAAAATAAACTTGTTGGGGAACTCTCTATATATTTTTCGAGGAGCTCATGCATTCCATCAGTTGCTTCGTGACGACTATACTCGACGGTAGTTTTTTTACATATAGTTCGAGATGTATACTATTGGTGCGGAAGTTAAGACCAAACGTGCAAATTATTACTTGCCTATTGAACAGGCTTCACAATGCAAGAAAAAGTGTGAAAGGTTAGTATTATTCTCAATTTATATGCAATATAATTTCTCTCTCTCTCTGAGATTTGAATATTTAACAAAAACTTTTCTTAAATTTTTCTTTACAGCGTTTCTACTGAAAAACCACATATTCCTGCTCGTATCTTAGGGAGGAGATACATGGTAACAACTACGTCATATAAATACTTAGAAATTGGAATCAGTGTAGAACCTGCATACTACGTGGAAATTGTTCTTGGTGATAATCGATGCAATCATTTGATATTACCAAATGAAATCTGGAAAGAGATTATACATAGACGTGCACACATCGAGCGATATGTGGAGTCATCTCATTCCTCACCCTTATGGATTCGAGATTTGTCGGTGGAATGTCGTATGATGCATGGCGATACCATTATAAAGCTTACATTGTTCAACAAGTCAATGTATTTAAAACCGGAAACATTGAATAACTTATTCAATCTTGAGCAGTGTATTGATCATATGTACTCATGGTTATACGAAAATACGCATCTTGTTAATACAAAGTTCCAAAAATTTGTAAGCATTTTGCAACAAAATGATATTATTTGCGTATGGTACGAGTCCAAAACTACTGATTGGTGTTACGCCGCTAAAGTAATACGCGAAAGTGACGATTTCGACAGCGAGTCTCTTGTCGACTCTGAGCTATTGGCGTGCGCCTTGAAAGACATTGTACATTATGTTCTTGATAAATAATAATAAACTATTTTAGATCGTAAAAGATTTTTTAACTTAATATCCTCCCTATTACCTTTTCCCTATATTCCTCTTTTTAGATGTAAGTGAATGCGATAGGCGGGTACCGAGATAGACTCTGAGGATATCGCCGACCCATACGGGAAAACGGAGTAGGTGGAGAATGGAAATATTTTCTGGCTACAGGGGAATGAAAGGAGCAGTATGTGTGTTGGTTTCTGATACAAAGATAATAGCTTTAATTTCCGTCGTGTTATCTTGGTGATTAAGTTGTTTCTGTGATGTATTAATATCCTCCCTATTTTTTTAGATGTAAGTGAACGCGATATAGGGGCGAGTGCGCTGGAGGGGGTGGGTGAACTTGGGTCGTCGCGAACGGGCCGCTGGAGGGAGTACAGATCGGACCGCCGCGGGGGAGGGTGGGTGCGGACCTTCGCGGGCGACCACCGCGAGTCGTCACGATCGGAGGGAGGGTGGGTGGAGGGGTGCGGACCTTTGCGATGGTATACCGACTGTCGGAGGAGGAGGGTACCGACCGCTGCAGGGTCCTATACGGTGGCATTGGCGCCAGAAGAAAGGTAATTAATTAATTTGCTTTGACAATTTCTATTGCTATTACAACACTCCAATTACACAGGCCGACAAAATATTTTACCAGAAACCGGAATATATTAGGTGGTAAACTTAGTTCCTGCGGTTTTTTTGTTTAAAAAACTCATTTATTTCGACATCAAAAGCAAAAAATACATTAATCGAAGTATTTTCCCTCGCTAGCTATACATTTTTCCCATCTTTTGGGCAACGCGTAGATTCCGCGACGATAGAATGATTGGTCTTTTGATGCAATCCATTCGTCGATCCATTTTCGCACATCCTCGTAATTTCTGAAGTGTGTATCCACCAAGCCGTGCTGCATCGACCGGAAC